TTTGTTTTTTTTTATTTTTATGAGTTGTTTTTTTTTTTTTTTTTTTTTTTTTACATGGCATATTTGTCAAGCTCAAGATAGGAAAGAAAAAGTGCCTTTTCAAATGGTACTTTTGCTAATTATTTTACAGGAGCATCACACCTGTGTCGCCCGCTTGGACCATGTGACGGTTTATGTGGCGTGATTAAAACAGCAGCAGGTAAGAATTCTGGTGTGTGTGGGCCAAAGGGCTCTAGAAAAGGTGAGGGGTTGCACGTATGCTATGCTCATGAAGAAAGCGTCGCAGCATTCCTCCGCAAAATTAATTAGCACACTGCTGTTGGGTTCGGCGAACATGAGCTCCACTTTTGCGTACAATTTCGAAAAGTAGCCATTTGACGCACAATCTCTCCCGTAGCTTTTATCGGGAGAAATTGAGCCCGTCAAATGTATGCTCGAGCAGATTATGTTATCTGTACAGTCGCCAGACACTCGATTAGGTACACATGCACTGTCTAAGTATGGCAAACAAAATATCACCGTTCCTTGCACTGGATCCATTACATTTCATTCTTACATACATTTCATACTAAATGATGAATGATGCCCATGAGGACACAAAAGACGCCGCCAACTCCTTGTACTGTGAGATAATCCCTCATAACCACTCTCCTTGCACTGGATCCATTACATTCCATTTCATTCTTACATACATTTCATACTAAATGATGAATGATGCCCATGAGGCCAAAATATGCCGACTCCTTGTACTGTGAGATAATCCCTCATAACCACTAATTGGTGCGTAATCCCCAAATGAAATTTGCATCTAATGTGGTCGACTCAGATTAATTGAGGGGGGGGGGGTTCATCAGATTATTCATGACTCCTGCGGCGCCTTAATTAGGCCTGTCTGTCTGCAAATTAAAGAATAATAACAAGCACGCACGCCTGTGCAAAAACAAGGGGGTGGAGCATGGTGCAACTCGGAAAGTACAGTGAGCAGACAGAAAGTACAGTATGTGCACTTTGCACACGTCAGACTGAAGGCCACCCGCAGAAGTCAATGAGTGCTGGAAACACATTTGAACAAATCCAACCAACTTGACTTTTTGGTTTTTCGCCAATAGTATAGCACCGCAATAAATGTCCCATATCAACGTTTAGATTATCTTTCTGCATGAAGAGGCTGCGCCAGAGAAAGTTGTTTGCGTCAAAAAAAAAAAAGAAGTGGGCGCGTCACGCAGATCGAGTTACAGTACTGTACAATATGTACGCACGAGCCCGAGTTATCACAATTCTACAAATAGCCTAAGACTCAACGAGAACTAGTGAAAACGTACATTTCACACGGCAAAGTAGCATGAAACGAAGACTGGCTGTACAAGCAGTAGTCGATGACGCACTTAACTTGGCAAAGGATTTGGGTCAATGAGATGCGACACACAAACACCGCAACTTGTCAAAGCTCCCAATCGCACGCAAAATCGTTAAACACACGCCTACGTCCAAACAAAATTACATGACGTGCGACATTATGGCAGAAAAAGACCCAAAGCAAATTTAACAGTACAAAAACTTACCATTGAAGTCTAAAACGGTACGATGTCAAAATTCCTAACGGTGTTTTTTACAAGCCAAGTGCGCACCAAAAATTACACAAAGTGAGAGGACTGAGATGTGTTCGTGTCCAGCTCGGAGAAAATAGCGTCTCGTTGGAAGTCGGACTACAACCGACGGAGGACGGTGTTTTTACACAATTACAAAAAATACAAATTCCACAAAGTGAGAGGACTGAGATGTGTTCGTGTCCAGCTCGGAGAAAATAGCGTCTCGTTGGAAGTCGGACTACAACCGACGGAGGAGGCTTACTCCCGTCCCGTTTTCTCTCCCGCTTGTTTGTTATGGACTGGGACTGGGGCGCGAGGGGATAGCTATCGGCGTGGTGGGGGCCGTCCCACGCGAGAAGTCAGTCACGTGGTTCCGTCAAAAAAATACATACATTGTTGGACTGTTACTTCAAGAAACGCTGAAATGACCGTAATCCAATTAAACGCAGCAAGGAGTAAAACGACTACGGGCGAGGGGGAAAAAGACGAAAAAGTTGAAGGGGCAAAAAAAAAAACCAAATTGACAACCAAAACTAAAAATAGTGAAAGAGTAGGAACGCTGAAATGACCGTAATACAATTAAACTCAGCAAGGAGTGAAATGACTACGGGCGAGGGGGAAAAAGACGAAAAAGTTGAAGGAGCAAAAAAAAAAAAAAACAAATTGACAACCAAAACTAAAAATAGTGAAAGAGTAGAAGTATAAAAATTATTTGAAAAGATTTCTTACCCTGTTGACATGTTTCAAAATGGTAGTTATAGCACGAACAGCTCCAGACGTTGTTGCCGTGTGCTCACTTGTGCCTTCTCTGTGCTGCATTGGGCGCTGCACGGAAAGTAGGTCAAAGAAACTTGGCAGGGGTTGCCATTTCCCTTCTCCCGCAAAATGTGACACACATTCTCGTGTTGGCCTTGCATTACGTTTTTTTTTTTCTGGAGCCGCGCCCACCTCCTCCAGTCACGTTGCATTGCAACGTGAGCACACTTTTTGGAACGCAATGTGCAGATGTATAGACGGGAAAATAAACAGTGTCGGGTGCATGGGAAACTGTACTAGATGAAAGACTTATAAGTCAGCTTTGTGACTTCACCAAGTGACCCGCGTCTAACAAATGAAAGCAGAAGGAAAGTGGAACTAGGTTTCCTTTATTGCACAAACATAATAAAAATTTAAGATGCAAGGAGAAATGAAGCATGTGGCCCATTTTGCATTGAATTTGCCTTCAAAATGGCTGCTTCAAACCAAAATGTCTGACTTGTTGTTCCATGTTTTTGTGTAGATTTTTTCTCCAACTTTCCATGACACTTTCGTGTGCAATTTGGCCTCAAAAAATTGTTCTTGAGACTTTTTGCTGAGTCCTATCATGATAGATGATGTCCACCCAATTCCACGCTCAGGTGGGCTCTGGCAATTTTCAGGCCCTTTTGTCATTCTGATACGTTGCAGTGAGAATTCAGCTTTTTACGGCAGTCTCATCGTTCTTCATTGGCTCTCTTGACCTTCCGTGATGACACCTTGTGTCTGGCGCCATTACTCCACACGAAATGCGATCCTCTTATCCACTATGACGCAGGTGTTTTTTTCCAAGGGGAGAAGTAGGAGTCAACACGGTTCGCTTATGTTTCCACACACATCATTTTGCTATTTTTAACACAAGCGTTTAGTCAGCCAGCGGGTCTCGCGTCGTTTCTTGAAGTGGCTGGAAATCGTCATTACCTCAAAACAGACAAAAGTGGCCAGCCTTCATTGCGAGGCCGTTGTTTCCGTGTGACAGCCACAGCTATAGGAGTACTTATGTCACTCTGATGGAATGCGTCCTTGTTGAAAAACATTCATCACGCGTTTTAGGGGCTGAAAAGGGGAGGGGAAGGCGTGGACCCGGTTTTGGTTGACGTTCCTTAATGAAGCAACTGTTTCAGAACCTGAGACCTGTGCAATTTGAGCTCTCTCATGCCGACACATAATGGTTAGTTAGCAAATGCTGACCCAATTCCCTAATCGGCCGCTAATCTGTGTATCAAGTGGCTCTTTATACATTGTCATATTTGAGGGGCCGCGCCTTGGGTAGTGCGAGCCCGCAAAGTGTTTGTCCACACTCTGACCTGTTTATTTACACCCATTTTACTGCGCTGCATTAAAATCCTAATCCTCTTCTTATTGTCTTCGCCCCCGCCTTCCCCACCCCGCCACATTTCCTAATCCAGGGCTGTGTGCTTTACACTTGGCGATGCAGTATTTGAAAGCATTGTTTTCCCTCTGCAGTCTTGCCCCTTGAATAAATTACCCCCCCCCCCAAAAAAAAAAAATGTCCTGTGCAACAACGTGAATGGAAGAAAAGCACTTAATCAGGTTTTTTTTTCTCCATTCAAGTGTCACAGTAGGATGAGATTTGCAGTGGATGTATTAGGGACCACACGCGTGTCCTCCCACACAGGAGGCTTTTCCATTAGTTCTGTGATTAGCGTCCTCATTAAGGTGTTACAGGCATCGAGAACGACAAAACGATGGGGCTTCGTCATGCGACCATGAGCTAAAATGGAGTGGGTGGTGGTTTTTTTGTTTTTTTTTTTGTGCACCCTGTTCTGGTTTTTCTTTTTTAAGGGCTCATGATCGAGCAGCTGAGGCACGTCTTTTACATGAGAAAAACTCAAACAACACACGCAACAAGAGAAAAATTAATCTCGCTATTTTGCTCTTATTATGTCAGTATTTATAATTTGTTAAAAAAAAAAATATATATATATATATATATATATATATATGTTTTTTTTTTGTTTTTTTTTTTTTGTGACGCAATAATAACGATGGAGAGGAGGTCGTTGCCTCACAGGTGCCGTTTGGGGCTTTCCGCATCCGTTTTCGTTTCTCGACTGCAGAGGCAAAACAGAGAAGCGGTACACCGCAGACAATCGATTGGCTTTTTCCCTCCACTCGGGCTTTGTTTACCAACGCGCCACACGAAATGAGGAAGAAACTGTTGACAAATAACGCCAAAGAAGTGGAAAGGAAGATGCGGCTTTTCAAGTGCAACATCAGAATTGGAATCACCCTGTTAATTTTGGTTGTGTCGATTTTATTGGAGTTTGTTCGGATGATTTTTGGTGGATTCTTTTTTTTTTGGGGGGAGGGGGTTAGTATCTTGCCATAATTCTGGTGAGGCTCACACTAAACAGCTTTCAATGTGAGTGGGGCTTATAGGGAAATTCAAATCCGCCCATAACTACGTGAGGGGCATCATGGGGGCATTTGCCCAGCTGTGGAGGCCATGGAGAGGTTGTGTGTATTTGGGGTGCAGCTGGATATCGTTGAAAGTTCACGGGGGGGGGGGTCCAGAGTGAAATATGCCCAAGTATACCCTCAATGTTTGTTTAGGGCAGACATGGGCAAACTACGGCCCGCGGGCCGGATCCGGCCCGTTGGTCTTTTTCATCCGGCCCGCCGAAGGTTGGTACAGTACACAATTAAGGTTTGATGTAAATTATTGCATTCATTTCATTTGGACTTGTAATACAGGCATTTAAACGCCAGATGGCGCAGTTACTTGAAGTCGCAGAGCACAAGGAGGGAGGGGGAGACGATACGGAAGCCCGGAG